CCTGCTGAAGGGATTGTTTCCAAAGATCAGCAAGAGGAGCGGTTAAACTGTTACCGTGGCAGTGGGCGTATGACTTTTGTCCTCTTGGCTTTATTTTAGTGATGGTAGTAAGGAGTTTTGCCTTACAGAAGGGAAAAAGCATTAAGACTCAGGAACATAAACCACATTCCCTTTGGCACTACGAGTTCTCTACCTCATAGGCAAAATATGATCAGTGTGTGGAATGAATAGCAGGTGTAAAATATTTTTAGAAAAACCTTGGCGTACAGTGCAGACATCCCTCAACCCCCATCCTTTACTCTGTCAACCTTTGTTTGTTAAAACCAATCTGTAGTATTGATGGCTGCAGTTTTGGTGGAACTTGCTGCAGTTTTCATTTGGTAATTTAGCACTTCAGAGGCCTGAAATCGGAGATCCTCTCCTCCTCCGAGAACTGAGACACCATTACATTTAAACAGTCTGTCAGCTCCGTGCCCTCATGGAGCTCGTTGTGCTGCATTCCGTTTTCCCCTTAGCTTCAAGATTACCCATAGCATAAAACAAAAGAGGACTCTGGGAATGTAGAGCCTTAATTATTGTTTAGTGCCCCTGCGAGCTTCTTTGAGAAGGTTATATCAACAGGACTGGATAATGCAATTAAACACAGACCTGGAAACCCACCTTTTTTCCTTGGCAGAAGATACTCATTCCCTGCTACACCCACAACCCCTTCCTTTGTCTTTGCTGCCTCTCCCACAGCACCCTCAGAAGGACCAGCTTGCGCGTTGCTCCCTTTGTTCGCTGCCTCTTGCTCCTTGCTCTGCTGCACCAGGCTTTCATGCCGCTCTTCTCTTCACCCAGACTCCACTTCCCTCTGACCTCATCTCTGAAGTTGCTCGATGCCAGGAGCCACTGTGCCATGGGAGACCTCAGCATGCAAGGCTCTAGCCACCAAAAGGTACCCTCTCCTTCCGCCCCTTGTAGGCTAAGGCTTACTTGACTTCACTTCATCGCTAAGGACATAGCATAAAGAACTACTGAATGTCGGAATACAGTTAAGGATTATGTTAGATGCTCACAGTATCACGAAACTGAGTGAATTTGCTGCTTGGGCAGCCTCATCCAGTAATGTAACAGCCTGCGAGTTTTTAGTCACGTTGATGGAAATGGGAGGTGGCAGGTTAGTGAAGAACATAGTATAATAGATGACAACTCAGGCACCCCATGTTCCAGATCTGACTCTGGGCAACTCGCTGCCCTTTTCTGTATTGGTTTCCTCCTCCGTCTCCATTGAAATTCACTGTTAGCAAGTGTCAGACGTTAGCTGGCTGTTGCTGTCTTTTTGCTGTCAATAAGGAACTTCATCCAATTTCTGTATGCCACAGGAACAGGTTGACCTACCGTTCCCTCCTTTTATTGCCTTTAGTCTCTGTGGCCTTTGAGAGTCTCCTCCGTTGTACAGTTCACTTAACGTGGATTAGATGACCTTTACATTTTGAAATAAGGCATGCATATAAGAGTGAAGTACTTGATTCTCGCTGTCCATGGTATATAGAGTCTGATTCAACCACCATCGGAGCAGAAGGCCTCTGGAGCAGTGAGATCTCACATACTGACTATTGTGATTCTGTAAAAGAATTTCTGTGGGTGTTTCTTTAGATATGGAAGTATATATTCCTCCAGTACAAATCATGTGAAAATTTTACACCAGCCTACTCACTGAAGTTGCTGCTGGTCAAAATTAGACTTGCATACAGATTTTACAAACTAAAACAAATT